GTTTATTAGATTTGTACTACTCACATAAGCATGTATTTTGCATCCAAAACATGGCTGTTGGCTGAATATAGAACATTACACAACATAACAGGACTATAATAAATTTTTCACGAATAAACCAATTCTTAATATAATAACACTGACACTCTAATCCTGGTCCAGCCAATCTCATACAGATTATTCCTTATTGCTTGTATCAAGTCAAGAAATAGAGTCCAGTGGAGCACTGCATCACACCAGAAGAAAGTTTCTGCCTCTTTTTGCCTCCTCAGTAGAATTTCCTATGCCAGGTGAGTGGTTGGGTCTTCACATTCAGTAGACCCTGGCCCAAGTTGGTCTCCAGAAACTGAGTCTGAACTGCCTCAATGCCATCCTGCTGAGAAGAATAATTAAAGTTTAGCCACTGGCCTAAACAAAATGACCACCCAGCTCATCTCTTTTGGGGATCTTTTTCTACTTAATTTTATGTTTAGACTAAATAAATAGCTTATTTTAGACATGGTTTCACAGAATTACAGAATTACTCAGTTGGAAGTGACCCACAAGGATTGAGTCCAGCTGTTACTCCTGCACAGGACCTAAGATGAGAAATCTAGTAAAAGAATTTAGATCTACTATTTAATCAGTAAAAGCCAAGGTCAGGAACCATTGCACTGTTTATATCCCCCTTTGTACATTTGTAAGTGTTCAGAAAAAGAATTGTTAGAATTCAAATCTGAATTATTTCATCATATCATAAGTCAATTTTGACTGAGTTGGAATTCAAATCACAAGTTTTTCATTTAAATTCATCCATTTTTTCTCAAAAAGTACTGTCTGAAATATGTGTACTCTAAGGTGAGGTATTGGTCCCTGTGAAAACAATATCAAAACTGTCATTGGCTTTATTGGCACTGGAGTTTTCACTATACCCAGCTGCCCCGCTCTGTGTCAATTTACTGGTTGATCTATTCCATATATTTTATTTATGATTTTGTTTAAAAACTTAGCATGCACCAGAAGTCACAGAGTTTTACGTTTATCTGCTTTCTGTTTTTCAGGGTCAGTACATTTTATCATCAGTCTTAAGACAGTTTTTATCCAGTCAAATTAAAATAGAAAAGGAATAGAAAGGAGTACTTATAAGTAATATATTTAATATACTTTAGACATAATCCTTCCAACACCTGGTGAATTAATTTGGGATTGATTTATTTGATTCATTTTCCTGTTACCTTTTTTCTCTCCTTCTCTTCAGGGAAGACTATCCTTCTCTCCTACAAACCATACCAGCTCTCGTGTTTGGTTCAGACATCTGCTTCTTTAAAAGAAATTGTCCCTTCTGATGTTTATGTCATGAAAAAAAAAAAAAGATTAATTTTGTGGAAGGTTGATGTAAATTCCTTGTGTCTTAGCGTCAACCCATAAAGACAAAACAAACTGGGCTATACTGGAATATGTACTAATCCATCATTGCATCTGCTGCACACTGTGACATGATAGAGAAGTGTAATTTTGGGTTCTAAATTTTCATTTCAAACATTATATGTAAATACAGTCATAAATATGTATCAAATGGAAACAGGTCATCTCTAAGATTTAAAGAAACCAGACAGTCTGAGCATATTGAGCTATCTCATAATAGAGAAATGAAGGGAAATTAAGAACAGGTAGCAATTCAGAAAGTTAAAAATAAAAAGTCATCTGAAGTTTAAGCCTCTTGAGAGGGCTTTGAAAAAGCTAACAATAGAGCTCCTGTAAAACATAACAAAATAAAAATAGATGCTGTAGTTGCTGGATAAAAATAGTGTAGATTTAATGCTTCTTCAAACAGATGGCTCTAAAACTTGAGATGACAAATTATGATTTGTTCAGCCCAAAAAGAAGTCTTCCCAAAGACTCTGTGAATTGTGATAGCAGTGTTACAGATGACCTTGAGATGGGTTTCAGACATTTTTTTTTTGTGAATTGAAATCTAGTATTAAAACCAAAATAAAGCAGGGAAAACAAAACTATATATTAGAATTTACGATTACCTAAAAACTTTACTAAGATTTAATTTCTTGTTCTAGAAATAGTGGTAGGGGAAATAGAAAAAATCTTGTCTTTGATGCATTTTAATTTTCTCAGTGTAGTATTTTCAGTCACGGCTCACCACATTCATCATTCTCCAAAAGCAACAGCCCACTCCACCAGAGAATTTAAATTTCTTTTCTGCTAGTGTGTCACTCTTGTTTCAAATATGGAGATGGAGGAAGGAATGAAGTACCCATCCATATGCACTTTTGTTTTCAGATGTTGCTGCACTTAAAAGTGCAAACCCATTTCTTGAACATAGACAAAGATACATAAACCTCTTCTGAGGATTTTCCAGAATGAATTTTCCCACCAAAATTATCTGTTAACAGGCTGATAGATAGAAATAATGACCAGCAAAGCATTTAATACTCCCTACACTAGTGCTTTGCCAATGGCCTTGAAATGCAACAAGGATTCCTTATGGAACCATACAAATTATGGATGTGATTCACTTTGTGCTGCTCCAGCCATATTCTGCTGCAAACCCAGGTTGATTTAATAGATGTATGAGACTGAAAAAAAAATCGGTCCTAAATGTAACCTGTTATCTGTAAGTTAATAAGTAAATAAAATATGTTCAGGTGTCTGTTTTATTAAAAAAACAAAAACAAAAACCCAACAACAAAAACCCAACAAAACAACTAACACTTGTAAAATTAACCCCTGCCATGTATGGATTTTCTTATTTTCAAATTAAATAAATTGCAATAATGATTGTACATATACGAACAGCTTAATGTTTCTATAGAAACTATCTTTTTGCAGAAAACTTTACAAGCATTACTTATTATTAATAATATTTATTATTCTTGTGCTCAAGGAATAACCAATCTCATGGTGTCCAACGAGTTAAAAACTGAATTATTGAGACTGTGCTAAGACGAGGACCAGGAAATCCTTAAACATGATGGATGGATGATGTGCATTATTCCTGAGTTTTACCTATTTTGGATGGTGATGGAGTAAGAAGGGTTTTAATTAACTTGGGAAATTATTTGTCTCTGCTGTAGCAGGCTCTGATAGTGTGTGAACCTCTCTCCTTTTGCTCCCTCTATGCTCAGCATTTGTCTCTCCATTCAAGTGAAAAATAACAAAGGAATCAGCTGCTGTAATATATCTCACAGGTTTGAATTTAGTGCAAATTGAAGAGACAAGGTAAGAAGTGAAAAGAGTAAGGTAAATCAGATGAAATAAATGGATCTGTGAGACCAGAGGAGGGACAGATCTGGAAGAAACCATCATTCAGCACAAAGTCCCAAGAAAATTGTTCCTTATCAGCTTTCCATTTGTCCTTCCTTGGCTGTGAAATTTGATTCTGCTTTCTGAGTCACATCCAGTAAATAACTTGATGCCCTTTTCCTATTTGTTCACACCACTAACTGGAATGGAAAAGGCATCATGGTAGAAAATGAATTGCCAGTGGGACAGAATGTGGGCTACACATGTGCCTTGTCTTGTTCACTAAGCTGCAGTATTGCCCTGAGATTTGAATGTCTGAAATTAAAACTCTGCCAGCGTATACTTTGCTTTTTCTATTTTAAGAACACGTGGAGAAATGATTTTCATAAACAACTGCTTGTCAGAGGCAGCCATCCAGCTGCCATAAGAAATGGGAGACAATATATTTTCAGAACATGAAAATGGCTGTGCAAATGAGTCAGGCACAAGTCTCATCTTTGGATCCATATTGTGTCTCTGTGGTCAAAATCAGATGCCAAAGGAATGGTATAACAGGGAAATATGTGATGTTGTCCTCACACTTCTAAATGTTTCAGTACATCAGAGAAAATTCTCTTGCATGGCCACAAGAGCAGCTTCAGCATTCAGTTCCTCAAAATCCTCCCACTAATATTTCAGTCAAATGTTTTGTGAGAAAATATCCTCATGATCCATTTAAATGTACTCCCTGTTCAGGCAGCCACATAAAAGTAGGATTTCTTGCTTTTAAACACAAACTGTGAATGAGCGTTCAATGTGAAATATGCTTTCTAAAAGGGCAATTTTTGTTCTAACTGACCTAAGGTAAGTGCATTTATTTTCTGGATAAATGTACAGTCAAGTGCTGAGGAAAAATGGCACCCTTTCAGATGGTTTATAAGTGGTGGGTGAACTTGTACAGCCCAATTTCAAATCCATTCCAGCTTTACTGTGTGGCTCATATTTTGTTTAATATAGACTGTAGAGAAAGGGGCAGAAAGGTTGTGAGTTAAATCATGCCTGGTCACTGAGTCTGCTCACCAGTGGGGACAAGGATAAGACACAGGTCACTTCCCTGAGTCTGCTGACTCCTCTATCTGCCCTGTGCTTGATGGCCAGGTAAAAAGCAGCTGCTGTGGCAGCCAAAGGTGGTCTGGTTATAAAACCAGGCATTGACATTCTGCTCTCTTGTCCTAATCATATCACTGGGATAAAGCGGTAAAGTTCAGGGAAGAAATTGTGATCTAAAGGAATCAGTGGGAGTTTCACCACTAGCTTAGTGACTGAATTTCACCCTACTTTTTTTTGGCAGAGCTTATATCTATGTTAAGCCTATATGAAAATGTAAAGCTTGGCTCCTGCTAGTTATACCTGAGTTTGAAACTGGTTGAGGAAAGCCTGGAACTGAGTGAGCATCAGAAGTCTCTTAATTTCCCTCCCCATAAACAGTGTTGAGTACCCTAACAGGGATCACAAGGGTTGGCATGCTCGGTGTGTTGCTCCTGTTTTTTGAATCCTTGGACACAACTTTCATTTTTGCCTGTGTATAATTATACAAATCATTTGACTAAGTGCTTAGCTGTTGAAGGATCTTAGGAGTCTTTCACAATTGAGTCAATTAGGAGAAGGACAGTTTTATGAAATTATACCCTTGGTTAGAAAAGTGACTGGTAAATATAGGTTAAAAATTTAGCGTCCTTTTTTCATGCATTAAGTAAATAATTACACAGAAATCACAGCCATGGTAGCACTTCAATGACATTTGCTTTATGGTTCAATAGTTAAAGGTGAATCTGTTGGTTTTGCAAAGGAAAAGGAACTGGCAAGTGGAAGGTACAGACAGAATCCTCTGTGTTCCCTTGTACTGCCAACACACCTGGTGATCCTAATTCTGGTCACTCTCAGCTTCTCTTCTTACTCTCAAATCTCCTGGGTGGAATTACAAACTCTTGATGGGGCACAGCTCATCATGTCCTTTCTCAGGGTTTGTTAATCACATGCCTGTTTACTGGCTGAGCTCCCCTCATTGTCAGTGTCACTTATCAAACTCCTACCAAATATGGAGAAAAGAATTCAGTGGAAGAAGATATGAAAAGTGCAAAGGCAAATGTAGGCAGATGGCATCACTACAGAAAAAAAAATCTGTTTGGACAGGGACATGAAAATCTTAAAATTCTCATGGGTAGACAGCACAGTTTTGCACAACTTCACTCACTTCATCTCATCTTCTGTGTAGGCAAATAAGGAATAATTTCATATTGGAAGTCTCCACTAGCACTTTCTAGGTCTGGGTTCTCTCATCCCCTTCTTCTGACCCTCACGATAGTTCATGTCTCCTTCCACATAGGAGTCAAACCAAATTTCTTCTGGAAAAAAAATCAGAAAAAGATATGCAGAGTTCTGCAATGAGGAATTTCCATGTTAACTTGGTGTTTTCAGACCACTGTTTCATACAGCCATAACCAATAGCCCATTCCATTTTGCATGGATTTTACTTACATGCAATTCAGCCATTATTAGCCATGCCAAGCTACAGATTAAAAACAAAGAACCAATAGCATAGAATGGGAGAGCTTGAGCTAGGAAAGAAAAACAAAACTCCCAGAAGCAGCACAAAAGCAATTTTTCTGCATTAAGAGCTTGTCACAAGAATGGAAAATCCATCAAGGAAGAACACTGATGTGAACAGAGCTTAACCATTCTCGAACCAGTTAGCCCCTGTCCTTAGTGGGAAATGCAGCTTGCAGGATGTGAACTGGCATTACCATCTAGCTGGGACAAACTGGTCTGGGATGTTCCCAAATACACCCCAAGGAAAACTGCTTGAGACAGAACTTTTATTAGTGTGTCCATGGTGAAGCCACCCCCTTGTGAATCCACTGTCAGGAGGAAGGAAGCACCCAAGACTTGTAAATGCTCACGATCTAAAGGAACAACAAAAGTCAGAGGGTCTGATCTGCAAAAACTCCCCAAGTTTTAGTAATAAATTACATAATTGGCATGGCTATGGCTATGTTAGTCCCTAAGCTAGCCTTTCTATACATGTCAGGGGGTTTAGGATAAAGGGGTAGGAGGAAAGGGAAGGGAGAGAAGAAGAAATGAGATAAAGGGAGGGAGAGAGAGAAAGCAAGAGAAAAAGAGAGAGAGCAAAAGGGATCAGCAGTCATGGTTCCAGTGTCAATCCAGCTGATGGTGCTCTCATTCCTGCTTCAAGCCTTCATCCAGATGGGATTTCCAGGGTCCTGGGAACACTGCCCAGGCTTGAGAGGGGTCCTTTGCATGGAGGGTTTTCCCTTTCCTGGAGACAGCTTTCTTGCTTTCTATGCAAATTTGTTGTCACATACTGTCTGCTCATTCAGACCTTTCTGGAAATGGGTCAGAGGCATCAGGGCTTCTTGAGTGGTCTTGATTCTGCCCTGCAGTTCACACTCTCCTCCTGGCTTCTTTGCTGCCCTTTGGCTGTCCTGTGTTATGCTTCTTTCCATGGACTGGAAGAATAATATCTGCCCTTGAAAAGTGTTGTTATCCCTCTGCATGGACCCGTTCTCCAGTCACAATTTCCCTTGTCATGTCATTCCCAGCAGTGCTGGGTTACTCACAGCAGGTCTTGTGTGTTGTTACCAAGGCTGACTTCACGGCCATGCAGCTGTGGCTGTTTGATACACGCACACCAGCCTCCCATCTCCTGGGAGCCCATTCCTTTTTAGATACTGTCCTGACACAGGTGGGCCTGATTGGTTATTCAATCAACACACCATCACCACTGGCTAATTAAGAAAACACCCTTTGGTAAACGCCTTATGAGAAAACAACTGTTCAAAACACCAGCTGCAAGACTGTTTAATTTTTTCTCTCAGTCTTCCCAAAACTCCCCAGAACAATTCCTAGGAAAGTTTATGTCTTTCTCTGTCTCTGACCAGGCTGTCAGTACCCACAGTGGGAGGGACATTGCCAGAGCACAGCCTGTGGCCTGCAGTGGCCATGGGCTTGTGTATCCCTGAGCGAGGCCCGTGCCTGCTCTCCTCCAGCACTGCTCAGGCTTTGGTCTCTGTCCCCTTGACCCTGGGACTGGTCTTGGTCTCTCTTGTCTTCCCTTTGGGACAGTTCTTCCTCACTGTCACCTTGCCCTTGGACCTGCTCTTGATTGAGAGATTCTTTCCGCTTTGGGACAGCTCTTGATGTCCCTTGTCTTCCTCTTGGGACAGCTTATTGTCATTCATTTTCTTCTCCTGGGGCAGTTACCTTGCCCCTATTGTCCCTCCTTGGCCAAGGCCCCTCATTGGGTTGGAAAGTTTGCTTCCAGCCAGTCCAACACCCTCTGGTCACTGCAGATTTGGATCCAGGACTGGATTTTCTCCAGTTTCTGGAGAACTGGGCTGGCTTCCCTGAGCAGGGGCAGAGTGTGCTCTGCACGGGCCGGGCACCTCATGTTCAGCTCCTGTGGGGGATTCCTCTGGGACAGGGTGCTCAGATTCTCTGCAGGCTTTGCAGGCAGTGGCAGAGATGGTGTGGGGAGGTTTTGTCTCCCCCTTTGCACACAAGACACTGCTGGGTCCTGCTCTGACACTGGCCTGGGGCACCATGTCCCTGGAAGCCAGCCCAGGGGAGCTGACACAGGCCTGCCATGTGCCCCCTCCTGCTCTTCTGCCAGCCCCTCCCAGGGGGGGGAATTACAAGTCACAAGGGTTTGAGTAGTGTGATATTTGAATTAACATAGGGTGGAGAAGTAGAAATTTGGGGTTTTTTAGAATAGGATTCAGGGAGTCAAGATGGAGGAATTTGTGCATGTCCTAGCCTTCTTTTCCATCTTCTTGTCCTCCATGTCTTGGTGTGATGGTGACACTTTTCTATTGGTTCAATAGACACACTGTCTAGCATAAATGATAGGTATTGGCATGGAATTGTAAACATACTACACATAGTTTTGAATATATAATGTGGGAGCTGCTTGAGGCTCAAAACAGAATGCCATGGCTTCCTTTCTGGATGGACCTTGGCAGGTCAGAGAAAGACTGTAATAAATAAGGAAAAATAAACAACCTTGAAAATGCAATCTGAAGCATTCCAGACTCCTTCCTTGGCTACGACGGCCTAGGAGACTTTTTACGATCTCTGGGTCACCCCGACCTGCAGAACCCCAAAAGATATCAACACTCCTCCATTGCCATCTCTGTTCTCCTCTGCAGCAGAGCTCTCCAGGGAGCTGCTTCCTCGTGAGGGAGAAGAGAGACTCTGCTGGGAGGAGATCCCTGTGGGTCAGGGCAGTGTCACAATGGCCTCTTGGTGCTGGTGTGGCCCCACATCACCAAGGGCCCTTGGAAGGCGCCTCTATCACAAAGGGTCACACCCAGCGTGCCTGGAATAGTGGAACCATTCTGATTTGCCTGGAAATGGCTGCGCCCACAGGGCTCAGCCCCTGGACTTCCAGACTTGTAGGGGTGCCCAGGGTCCTGCGAGGCTCTCAGCACAGTCCCCCATGACATCCAGATCTCCACATTGGAGAGCCCTGGCTGGGAAGGCTGGGCCATGGACACACCTATGGTCAGTGCTCCATGTGCTGGTGGAGGGGAGGGATGAGGGGTGTCCTCCCAAGACTCTGCCATGGGACTGGGGTTCTTTAATGTCATTGTCAATGCCACAGAGAGTGGGATCGAGTGCACCCCCAGCACCTTTACAGCTGACAGGAAGCTGAGCTGGACAGGTGACAAGTGAAAGATAGTACCATCCAGAGGGACCTGGACAAGCTTGAGAAGTGGGACTGCAAGAACCCAGTAAAGTTCAACAAGTTCAAGGTCCTGCACCGTGGACAGGGCAATTCAAGTGCAGTGAGAATAATTCAAATATGCATCTATGCAGGGACACATATAATGCACACACATATCACAGGAACACATTGAAATAGCACTTCCAACTTTTTCAAATCAAGAGTTCAATTTAATTTCAGCTATATCTGCTTTTTGACCTTCATGGAGCCATTTGGAGGAATCTATCTTGAGAACATATGTGGTTGGTGAGATCCAGTATTTATGCTTCCTGTCTCTGGCACTTGCCAGTAGCAAACTCTGGGAGTCTGGGCATGAGAAAAAGGTGGTATTCCCTGGAATGCTCTCTTGATCGGCTGTGTTTTAGGCTTTACCCTCTTGTGGAGCCACATTTGATGTTTTTATATTGAAAATGACCTGCTGTTGTGGTCAGAAGAAGAGTTACCATGGAGAAACACATGGTTAACCTTGAGTGGTTCAAGTCAAGCTCTGCATAGCTGTAGGAAAATTTTAAACCCCATAATTTCAGTCTCAATCTAATCTGGCACATCAGTTCTTCAATGACTATTTCCTCAGTCAGAAGATCCTTAATGTGCAGATGGGAAAGTTGGCCTCTAAAGGGATATCTCTCCTCGAAATAATATGAAGTGGAAGATTGTTTTATTTGGACAATGATCCAAGCAGGGATTCATTGGACCAGATGGCTCGAGCTGTGCTAGACACTCCAGGGTCAGTAATTATGGGGCTGGACGAAGTTGCCAGTGCTGTCTATAGATGTGTTTAATTTTTTCCTATGCATATGTCCACAATAGGTCATGCAAATCACACCACTAAGCACCCGTTGTTCCCCATCAGCTTTTGGGAGAATAACTTATGAAGTAATTACACAGATAATAGGAATGTTGCTGCCACAGACAGAACCCCTCAATGTCCAAACCATGGACACTGCTGCACTCTTTCCAATTACAGAAAAGCCCAGTGGAATGGAAATCAAATTTTTGATTCCACCAAATATAACCTCTGTTACTGTTACACCTTCTTAACCTTGCAAAAATAAAAAAGTAATTCTGCATTTTGTTATATTGTGACAGATATTATGTCTAACAAAGTTGGTTTTATAGTGTACTTTTCTAAAGTTGCAGTAGTTTAGGCTGTCTTGAGAAGAGGGAGTTTTATGGTCAGTCTTCAAATAAGATTATTTTTTTCCCATTTAGATTTTGAGACTACTGTTAAAAATATAGCATTTTAACATACCTTCTGGCATCATTCATAAAGATTTAGTTTTATGCATAGAGTGAGTATCGAGCTGCACTTCAAGAAAAATTGTAATAATGCTTTCCCACATACAGAAATAATGGAAAGATGAAAATAAGATTGAAGTAAAACAGTCAGGAAGATCAAATACTTTTCAATGTGTATATTCAGACAGAAAGTAGTGAGTTCAGCTAACTGGCTTCCTTTAGGGCTAGTCAAAGTTTCTTCAGTCAGAAATGATCGTCTAAAAATGTCAGTAACTACTAAATAAAGTTATATGGCAAAGACGAGACCAGTTAACATCTGTGGTGTAAAAGAGGTCATTGCTATAGAAAAAGACCCAAAAAACCAA